GCCTATTTTGCTCTCTATCATAGTATGCTTCATTCTATAGCTTTTTGTTTCTTTCAGGAGAATAGGCATTTTAAAAGTATACATTTAGTAATAAAAAAAAGGCAGTTGTTTTTCATGAATTAATGGCATTCAAGGCTGAGGATGAATTATTGTAATATATGTGTGTACATATATATGTTGATGGTGACCACTACTTAAACAAAAATATTTACAAGGAAAAAAGAAAGAAAGAAAAAAACCCAAGGAAGATAGGCCTCATAAGAAAGACCACAATCTGTAATGGAAACATTTACTTCAGGAAATCACTGGGTGATTTCTCGGTAGAGTCAGATTGTATTTGTAAAATTCATTTGACAATTTTGACTATATTTACAAATTATTAATCAATCACTGACAAATTGCTGAGGAGTAACATCTATATACCTATGCACTCTATTATAAAATATATATTTTATGCCAATAAACTCACATATACATATATATTAGAGGTGAGATTATTGGTGAATTACATATATCCTCAAGTGCTACTAACAACTCATTGGTTCAAATTTCAACTATTATCCTGCTATTTTTACATTTGCAATTAACATTTATCTAATATGATACTCTGATATATTTAATATCAGGTACTAATATAATATACTCTGATATATTTGATATCAGTAACATATAGTGACAACAACAATACATGCTAGCTGTGTGCGTGCATGTGTGTGTGTATATGTGTGTGTGTGTGTGTGTGTGTGTGTGTGTGTATGTGGTGTGGGTGTGTGTGAATTTCTGTGCTGACTTGCAATTCAAAGATGCCTGATTACAAAAACCCTTCCCCAAAGAATGGGCTGACCCTAGAAACAGGCTCCAGTTACCTTCATATGTTCACAAAGAAAACCTTTCAATACTTTCTCAGAACGCAGGTGTGCAAATTACTCTTGCAATAGACAGAAGTCATGTTTTCAGTAACCCCTGGACCTCTGTTAAACACCCCCTGTAGCATTTTTCAGCTCATAAAAGTTTTATGAGCTGAAAAGTTCCCTCAGTCTTGTGAGCTGCTAACCACAGTTGCCCTCCAGCCCCAGCACCAGCACCCAACTTGTTATTATGATCCGTTTGAGTAAGGGTAACATAAAAGTGTCACAAGTAGCATGTTTTCTTTCATGGCAGTGAGAAAACAAGATTGGTAGAACTAAGAACAGTGAGAAATGACAAATTCTATAGCGCAGTATCATTCACATCTAGGTCATATATCACTGCCTGTTTAGATTGCATAGAATATTTAGAGGTTGATTATATTAAGATGTTCTGGATTTCTACAAAGATCAATGAAACTCATAGTCCTATCATGTGATTTTACAGCCTGAAAATGATCTTTTTTTTATTTTTTTCTATTAAATAGGTTTTCCTAAAATGGTATACATCCCCCTTATAAATGTCACATCTACCTTAGATTTTTTTCTGTACAAAAAAAAAATTAATGCTTTGTAATATCATCAATTTTATTTCTGCTTTAGAGTTATTTCTATGTCAAAGATTGGTATAGCTGAACAATTATCTTAGAATAGAAAGCTGAATTTCGTACCAACAGCAGAACATATCTAAATAAACTTTTTCTTCTCAACAAAGGATCCCTGCTCTGTATTAAGGAGAAGAGCAGATTTGGGGAAAGAAATTAGTCAATATGCAGTACTTCTCTTTGTCGGGGTGACCAGGTGATGTTTTTCCTAGTGTTTTTCCTGATTTTTTGTCTCAATGATATTTTCAGAACAATTTTCTGCCTTTTTTTTCTAAAGGTGGGCATGAGAGGAAATGACTGTTCCTCTTTCCCTGGATTGAATCCTTCAGGATGTTCAGCTCATTCACTGTTCACTTATAAATCCTCACCTTTTGCTGTGAGCTGCCTCAGGGCTAGCTGAGATGCTCAAACATGCTATTCTGCCTCCTCTTTTATCTCAAGCCTTAAAATCCTTCTACTGTAGGAAATCACTTTTTTTCCTCCTCATTTTATAATCTGGTCTTCCATCACAAATTTAAGAATTGCCAAATGGTACCTTCCTTTTTTTTTTTTCCAGTCACCTTACCTTAAAGGAACTTTTGTTTGTTTTGGTCTGATCTTGTAATTTCAACATGGTAGGGAAATCCACTTTCCAATGCAGGTTAGCATCTGTTTTGAAATTTATAGTCTTGGGGGCAGCTAGGTGGCGCAGTGGATAGAGCACCGGCCCTGAAGTCAGGAGTACCTGAGTTCAAATCTGGCCTCAGACCAAACACTTGACACACTTACTAGCTGTGTGACACTGGGCAAGTCACTTAACCCCATTTGCCTTAAAAAAAAAAAAGAAATTTATAGTCTTGGAGAGTGGCCTGGGGACACTGAGATGTTAAGTGCCTTGCCTAGAATCATATGGTAATTATGTGTTCAAGGTGAAACTTGGGTCTAGGTCTTCCTGATTCTGATTCCATCTCTCTATCCACACCTTGCAAGCAAACTTAAAGTATACACTTACAAATTAGTTATACAAATTAAGTAGGGGGATCTACATATGCTTCTAGGCCACAAATTAGATGATAAGAGTTAGCTTCCCATCCCCCTCCCCATCTCAATTCCACAAACAGATTCTTTCTTACTTATGTGGCAACCCTTTCTCCATCCTGAATAATGAAGAAGCAGGCAAAAGGTAGGAAGTGTAAACTTGTTCTCAAGAGAATTTAGTCAAGGGGAACAGGAATTAATATGATCCCTAGCAAAATCGTATTTCCTACTCTTGTTCTCTTTAAATTGTCATTCATCAAAGAAAAATCAAAGCACCAATGGTAATGGCAGAGCCTACTCTAAAAAAAGTCTATTATGAAATTATTGCCATATGATTCCTCTCTAGACCACTGTCCTGACTCTCTGACCTTTCTCTTCCATGCTATGAAAACGTCTTCACCCTGGAAAGTTCACTTCACTCCTGAGATTATCACACTGAACTATATACTCTGCCCTGTGGCCTCTCCCGATTCACCAGTTCCTCTCACAACCTTTCAGGCAGAAGGCAAGCAGTCATATGTCTTCTTTCCTCTCCAGTCTGAACTCTACATTTTTTGAACTTTTTCTACCATGACTCCAGTTCAGGTACCTTCTTTGCCCTCATTCTCACTCACCAACAAACTTTTTAGCTTGCTTTTACATGTTGTCTTTCTCCATTAGAATGTAAATTCCTCAAGATCAGGTACTTGTCTTTCTTTCTATTTGTATTTGTATTTCTCACACACTTAGTCCAGTGCCTGGCACGTAGTAAATTCTTAACAAATGCTTATTGACTTAACTGGACTTAAGAGTACAAAGACACATAACAAATGAAAGACAAGAAAATTTAGATTAATGCTGTTCTAAAAATAATTATTAATTCCAATGTATTCTCTCTCTGTGTCTCTGTCTCTCTTTCTCCAGATAAAGTTATAGATGCAGCACGCGCACACACACACACACACAGGAGGGCAGCAATGGGGGGAAAGAAAAAGAGTGAGAGAGAGAGAGAGAGAGAGAGAGAGAGAGAGAGAGAGAAAAGTAAATTCCACAAGTTTCATTTCAGATGAGGAGTATTTATATTTACATATTCTTTTCTCATATAGAAGTATAGAAACAACTGGACAAATGTGCAAGGATTTTGAAAATTTCTGCTTGAAGTTTCCATTATGACCTATGTAAACATACAGCTGGCCCATTGCTTCAGTTACCATCCACTTCTCACAGTAGGGAATCCTGGCCACTTTGTGAGAAAGGCATTATTACTAAGAAATCAACCACTGTGATCAGCATCTCCAAGCAGCAAGCAGTTAAACAATGCACTTCCTAAGCATGATATTCCTCCAATCCGCCAATAATCTTCCAGATCAACATAGAACTGTTAATAATTATCTTAGTTCCTTGTCAAGATTTTTATCTGTAACCTGATAACTTCCCTGATCTAAGGAAATCTGGGCAAATACATTAAACCATATATGTAGTACACTCACAACTCCGTTATTGGGTGTAAATGGCATCGCACACTTATTTTGATGAGAATGTCACTTTCAGTAATTGGACTTATAGATACTATTCAATAGAAGGACCTTTAAAGAATTATTTCTGAGAGGAAAAGAATATATATATATATATATATATTCAAGCAGACTTAAAGGTGTTACAAACACACAAAGAAAGAAGACAAAGTTTAAAATGTTCTGTGTTACCATTTAAATACCAGGTTATTTAGGAATCCAATGAAGCACTAAAATCACCACCAGACCATCTAGTTTAGGTTATTTGTTACTAGTCATAAATAAAAATTATAATATTGTAAAATGTCAGTACTGTATCCATTTCTGTTCTGTATACCCACTGAATACAAAGCTACATACATACATACACAAGGACATCAGCTAAAAAAACGTGTTGAACTAGCATTAAAAAATCACTTTTAAACCACAATTTCCATGTAGTACTTAATGATATGACCCAAAACTGATTACAGTGAACCTGCAAAATTCCCCACAAAGAACACTCCAAAATGAGCTCCAGATTCTATCTTTGTATGTGTGGACTCCATGAAGATCCAACACTTTTTTAGCTGTCCAAACTGTAAGTGCTGATGTTAATAATTACAGACTAATGGAATGTTAACACAGTCTAAATGCTACACTTAAGTAGTAATGATGGAAGGACACTGAAATTAAAACACTGGGTTCCACATGTTTTGAAATGATGTATAATAGATGATTTGGTTATATTAGATGACAAAGCGAGTTTCTTATGGCCTTCAAAATCAAATTTTATCAAATATTCTTCCAATGTACTATCACCATCTTCCAACATACCACTTAGTGCAACTATATGTAACTAAAATATCATTTTCATGACATATTTCACACTCCAGTTATCTTCTAATGGCAGCATCTGATATGTTCGTGTTTCAAAAAATAACTGTCATGGTAAAAATGTGGATTGCCTTGAATGGCATGTGTAGAAAGAATAGACTTACCTGTCTCGTTGCCTGTGACTGTAATAATATATACATTTATATCAGGGCGGATTGTTTCCCTTGCCTGAGGCTCTGAAGTAGAAACTTCCTGAGATCCTAATGCATCTTTGCCTTCCTCAGCTGTGGGCTGTCTTGTTGTCTGTGCAATGGAAGAGGCACTTGAGGTTGTAAAATATTCTCTATCAATATCTGTTTCTAATTCTTTAGTTACCACATCATCAGGAGGAGTGGGTGTAACATGATATGTCGATTCACCAATTATTACCATGTCACTGGTTGTTTCCTCACCAGGTTCCCTATCAATTATCAGTGGTTTCTCTTTAGTGACAAAGGACTTAGAAGTTGAAGTGGAATGAATTCTGTCTAATGAACTAAAGAGAGTAGTTACATCACTTGGCATGGTGGTTTTCACTGTTGCAACTGCAGTGAGCACAACTGTTTCAGTGCCTTTGGGCTCTTCTAATAATCCTGAGCCAACCTCTGTATAATCTTGGGAGGTTTCCTCTTTTTTCCCAGAAGTTGTTTCTTCTGTTCTCCGAGGTACACCTTCTGTAGTGAATGGGCTAGAAGGTGATCTGGATTCCCAAGTGGAAGGACTGCTAGCCCTTCTTTCAGATTCTTGTTCAGGTCCGGGACTTAAGTGCCCTTCCAGCGTAGTGCCGAGGGTCACTGTTTCCACTTCAGTCTTCACTTGGTGCTCAGTCACAGAAACATAACGTGGGTGAGATGTACTATGCTCTGTTGTTCCAACGGTAATTTTAAAGACTGGAACTTGCTCAGAATCTGTCACCAACCCATCTTCAGAGGTTGGATATGCTGATCCATCAAAGTCATGCTCATCAGTGTCCTTTGCTTGTGGAGTTACCAGTACCTCCAAGGAAGGGGTGGCCACAGAGCCAGTGGCAAACACTGGATGTTCAGTAGGTTGTTCTTTCTCAGAAACAGGGAGCTCAATGGGAGTTACTTGTGTACTTTTGCTTATTGTTTGAGTGGTCTCTAGAGAGTGAGTTGCTTCAAAAGGGGTCTGGTCAATCAAGTGCACATCGTGGGTGGCTTTACCTTCTGATGAAACAGAAGGAATTAAAGACACTGTTTGTGCAGCTTCTACATGAGCAGGAGGCTCCTGGGTGCTGCTACTATAATTAACAAACTCTAGTCCTTCCCCATATACAGTTTGTGCAAATTGATGGACAGTAGTTACTGATTTTGGTGTGTCCAAATCTAGCCCTTCATCAATAGCACTCCCTTCCATGGTTGTATCGACAACTCCCTCCGTGGGAGAATATTTAACAATTGATTCTTCTTTAATGCCTGTTTTAGGAGTTGAATGAGAACTCACTGTGAATTCCTCTTTGTCTTTCCAAGATTCTTCTGTGAACTCTGCCATTGGTCTTTGGGTAATATCTGTTGTAAGAGGAAAAGTTCTTCCAGTTTCAAAATGCTTTTCAGTTGTTCCTGAAGTTGTAAGTAAGGCAGTGGGCAATGCTGTAGTGCCTATGTGTTCCGTTGATGCCAAAGGCTTGGATGTCATGCTATCTTCATCCAGTGGCCATTTGGATACTGTGATAACCTCCAGACTTAAAGTGCTGCTTGTGGAATGAACTTTGGTTGTACTTTCTTCCGTCTTTGTTATATCGGGAGGGCCATCTGTTTCTAAGCTGACTGGTGTACTTAGAAACTTGTCTTCAATGTCTTTTTCTTTTATTGGCTCTAAACTTATCTTTGCTGAGATTGTTGTTGCTACAGAAGCATCAAAATACTTGATCATTTCGTCAGTGTAGTCGGGGACATCGGTTTTCTCAAGAGAAGGCTTCATTCCAGAGAATTCTTCTTCCTCGATTCTCCCATAAAAAGGATCTTTTGTCATGTCTTTCTCTGTTTCTTCAGTAGTTGCTTCTGGCTTAGGTGTTTGTTCCCTTTCTCTGCTTTCTGTTTGCTGATCAGGATAAAGAAGTGTGGGTGTTCCCTCAACTAAACCCTGTAGTGCAGTAACATCTTGGGAGGAAGCAAAAAATTTGACTTCCGTGTGATTTTCTGATGGCGAAGGCGTGGACCCATATTGACCAGAAAAGTCTTCAGTCACCTTGCCATTGGTTTGTGTCTCTTCCCAGTTGTCTATGGAGGAACCTTCCTTGGTAGGCATGGTTACAGGTAAGGCTACTGTGACTGTTGTTATAGAATCAGTGTGCTCCCTCAGAGTGAGGTTACTCTCTTCTGAGATTTTTGACACTGCAACAACTTCTGGAACTTGGCTAAAAGCAAAGATGTTCTGATCAGGTTGAATAGTATATGTTTCTTCTTCATCTTCTCTTGGAGTGAATTCATAGTGATCTGTAGGCCCTAATCCAGAAATAACAACATTTGTTGGCCCTTTTTCCGTTTTATTTCCCATTTCTGTGGATACAACCAGAGTCCCGAGTGTAAAGGACTCCTTTACTGGAGGATGCTCTGAAGCTTCTACATATGTTACCAAGGGCCCCACCTCAATTTCTTCCTTTTGGGTAAGCACTTCTTGTGTTTGAGCATCTTCTGTGTTCCTTTCCCACAAGTCAGTGGCATGATAAGAGGTGACAGTTTCCTGTTGGAGCACTCCATTTCCTGAGGAAGTTGGTAACAGTAAAGAAACTCCTTCTTCAATTTCAGATATATCTGGTTTCTCCAGTGGTCCTGATGCAGATGGTGTATATTCCATATCCCACAGCCTTTCTGTACTCCCAGCTGTGGAGTTGCCTATGGCAGCCTCAGGTTGAGTCGTGACCTTTTCAAACTTCTCCTCAATCACTCCAGGTGGAAGAAATGCGATTTTCTGTTCAATATTCACTATTTCCCCTATTGGAGGAATATTTGATTGAGTGACAGGTAATTCGGTGATTAAAGGGATGCTGGGTGTAGCTTGGATTGGTATTATTTGTGGTTCCTTGGACAAATTGGGTGGTGCAGTTTCCACAGGGATATTCAATTGGATGGTTGTAGCCTCTGATATGTTCTGTTTAGCTAGAAAGATAATTTCAAAGAGTAAATTAGATAAGCCACTGATTTCTTAAACAGGATTCATGTTTGCCCGTCTGGTGTTTGGGATAGGGGGAACTAAAATCTACGCCCCAGGTGATCCAAAGACAAATAATCATGCAGATGAATATTCAGTGTTCATAAATCAATCCATTATTTTATTTGGCAAAGGATGATTTTTTATTATCCCTGAAGTATGGCTAAGTTAAGAAAAATTAATAATTTTATGACTTTAAGTAATTGGGATATCACAAAAAACATTGCAGGTATAAATATTTGGCTACGTAGAGTAAAACAAAACACATACACTGGGAGTCACAACAGCAACTGAAAATCTAGTTAGAGGATTTTGTACTATCTTGCCAGAGTTGGGTTAAATTTTTGGGCCCAGGCTTTGTACAATCCCCCACCCTGTGGCCCAAGCTGAGAGAACTGTGCAGGCAGCATGGAGCCTCCTGGGAGAGGGAGTGTCTAATATTACTGAAAAACAAAAAGCCACATCAAATGTAATTGAGTTACTAATAAATAGCTAGATTGTCCATAATCTGGAGATTTTGATAAAAACAGGATATGAAGTTGTTATTTTTTTTAAATAAAGACTCTTTACTGTATTCCAGGTGTTTAAACATTTATCTTCATCTTCCTGTGAACCGAAGCATAGCTTTGTAAATGGTCTTCTTGCATGTTAGCAAAATGTTTCTGGAACATTTTGTCTGACATTTGTTACATCTCTGCCTTTGTTCTGCACTCGGTCTTAGTCTCACTCATGGGGGCTATTTCCAGGCTAACTTTAGCATAAAACACAAATGTAGAACAGGAAGTAAAATACCTACATGGTATATTTTCAGCTTATAATTACAAATCACCAAAAGAAATCTTGAGCAACAGTAGGAGTGTGTTTAAGCAATAGAAAATAACACATCATCATAAAATGCTATATTGCAATGCCTCAAGTTTTACCAGCAATTGACTGAACTTTCCAAAGGAATGTAGTGTATGAATGTGGATGTAATATTTTACACAGGACTTCGCAGCATTATGGTGAACAAGGAGGTTAGAATTTGGAAAAATTGGAATTTTAACAATCAATGACTCATCACACCAGGGGAAGGCTATTGTCAGGAAGTCAATGGTACTCTATAAGATTCCTGTAGAATTAAGGTCTAATTAAGGTTTCAGAGAACACCTCTCTCAGTGATAATAGCCAAATTATTATTGGATTTGCTTTGTAATAGGCCCAAGATCATTTTACAGAAATAAATATGTGTTGCTATTGTCTATCAAAGCTTAATGATGAACATAGCCTATCTTCTACGCTATGGACTAAAATTGTAATGGGTTCTTCATTATTGATGGGCTATATGGTATCAGGGACTATTTTTCTCCTGTGCATTCTAAAACTATAGATTCATCATTTTTGTAATTAAAAAACATCTTCAAAGTCTATTTATACAAATCTCTGTTTAAACATTATTGGATCCTTGCTATTTGTGTTTGTTAATATTAAGACATGAAAAAGATTAGGGTTTTTTTAAAAACAATAAGTTAAAAGTGAATCGCTGTTTTCTTTTGTCTTCTTTGATTTGGGGGTTTTTTTAAATTATCATCATATATTAATTTATATAATATATAGTATATAATATAATCATTTATTCATTTCTGACTTTCATACAACTTCTGGGTTATATCTATGTACCTTACAATTTCTCATTTAGCTCTATCTGGATTCATCTTGTGAGTTTTCATATGTCAAAACACATTTCCATTTCAAATCTCAAATTTATCTTTTTACTCTTTTTGGAGGGAAAGGCAAAAAAATAGATATGATAGGTTCCTATGATAACATCATGAAAACATTTAGCAACTTGGCTCAGGGCATATTTTTAAATGCTTAATGGTATTTTAAATTAATGAATTATTAATAAATCATGGTACTCTTTTCCTCCCTAGTGTCTTTTTTCCCCCTTTGCTACTGAAATTAATTTAAGGGGCAGTAAATGTGGGTTTAGAGTCAATTCAGAGGTCAGGGAGTCACATACTTCTGAATTCTAACTTTGCCTGCTACCAGTTCTCTCTGGCAACATGGAAATGTCTTTATGTTGCCTTGAAAACCAACAGCTCTGTCAGAAATAAGTATTGTTCTAAGCTTTGAATGTGGCCTTTTCTACTTCTATTAAATTTTGAAGTAAAATCATCCCTTCCAAGGGCCTCATTGCCACATCCAGCCTTAAGTGAGTTCTTTTCTTTTTCAAAATAAGAGGCATCCATTTTTTTCAAGACTGTTCCAGAGGAAAAACCTTTCATCTAAGTGTGTGTGAATGTGTGTGTGTGGGGGGGGGGAGGTTGTCAACAGCTGAGTCAGATCACAGCACAGTTTATCTGATCCATTGTACAACCTAAGACAACTGAGAAACTAAATTAATTGTATTTTAAAAGTCAGCATAAATAACCACATAAAGACATGGCATAAGAAGAGATACTTCATGCCTAAGCAGATGCAGAATGTGCAAAGGTAGAAAAACAGTGACATATAATTATACACATTTCCTTTCCAAGGGGGAGTTATAATGGAAATGTGTTCTTTTAGCAGATAGCCACTCATATTCTCTCAATTTCTTTACTAATGAAGCTTATAAAAAGGCAACTTGTCTTTTCTTAAAGGTTCCCTTCCACAGCCTTCCACACAGATGTTTCCTATTACTGAACTTGTTGCTCTGTGTCCACCAGCCTATCTTGTTTTGTGCTTCTGATGGGAGACATGAAACAGTGTTTCCTAATAAAATCTAAAACTCTATCAGCAGTATGAGAGTAAATTAGCTCACCAGCAGCTGCCTCACATCAAAGGCAAATCTGCATTTTAAAAAATGAATTGTTTGTGTTACAGACAAATAAAAGGGATTGTTATCTGCTTGTTTCTAATGAGGTTTCTCAATTTTTAGAGATATCTTCTTATCCTCAGTGATTATATTGGGCTACAGATCAGGCTCTTATTGCACAATGTTATTTAAATACTATTATCAGGAGTAGTTGTAAAACAGGGGAGATATGTACAAGGAGTTCTCTAGAAATGCATTTAGACCTATTACAGGTGAAGGCAGGAGCCAGAATTATCCTTGGATGTACAAATTATATAAGCCTTTTAAAGTTATTTGACAATAGATAGAAATTGTCAGAAAGAAACAATTTCAGTAAGTTCCATAAGGATAAATATAAAGGAGTCCACTTGGGATGGAAAAAGAAACTCCCCATAACAAATGAGGAAAGACTGCTCATGCAGACAAACAGCAGAAAAAGATCTGGGGGGCATAGTGGCAAATCAATTCACCATGGGTAAAAATTTAACACCATTGTTAAAAAAAAAAAAGGCAGCAGGCAGATTACCAGGATGCCTACATAGGTAATCTTTCTATTATGCACAGCACAGGTTACACTTTTACTAGAGTACCATGTTCACATCCTAAGGATGTTGTGAAAAATTTGGAGACAGTTCAAAGAAAGATCATAAAGATGATTAAAGACTTACAAAATAAGACCTCAAAATAAAAGAACTTTTTCAGCCAAAGGCTGGAGGACAATTTAAGGCGAAACTTCAAATGTATGTAAGTTGGTCACCAATTATTCTCTATCCTCACTGAGGATAAACAACAAGAAAAATAGGCTTAAACTACAGCATGAGAGTTCTAGGTTAGATCAATGAAAACCTTTTCTGTTCATGGCAGGACTTACAGAACACTAGAATGGATTACCAGAGAAAGAGGGTTATCTGCTTCTCTGGAGGTCTTTAAAGACTTTTAATGATGTGACTCCCATGTGTCAGCAGTAGGCTAAGGGTCAATCTGAAATTAGAGATATGTGCTGGAGGACTTTTAAAGATCATTTGCAACACCTGAGTTTTATGACTCTTTTTAAAGACCTAATCACCTTATTGTCAAGAACTAGATTGTCTGAGTCAGAAACAGCTTGCTAGACCAGTGAGGTTAATTTTATTTTATTTTACTTTTAATGGATATCTAAGTTTACTCATGGAGGGAAAACATTTAGGGCACTCTATTTTATAAAGATACTTATTAATATGTTTCCAAAATCCATTCCCTTTTTAGAAAGCAATAAAAGTTATAAAGTCCATTTCTCATTAGTCATTCTGGGTGGGTTTTTTCCATTTTTTTCACAGGGAGAAAGAAGGTCAGTAAGTCATACCTATCTTTTTACAATCATTAGAGATGTAGCTTACCACATATTCTCAACGAAGTGTATAATGCCAAGGGAGACAAGGACACAATGATTGTTTTGCTTGACAATTAGCTGTAAAAATCTTGATCACTCTAGCTAAAGTCACTCTTGGCTGAAACAGATGTTAACTGTGGCTGATGATCACAACACAGACAATACTGCCTAACTTTTTACCCCTCACGTTTGAGGTTACAATCTTTCACATTTCACACAAAGGACTCTGGTGGCAGCATGACTATCCGGGGAAAGTAGACAACAATCACTAAGGATTTGAGACAAATTCCCTGAATCTTTGAAATATGTCAAAAATCACTTCAAAAGTTTATATGAAATGGGGGGGGGAAATAATTGACATTATATAACATCTAAGGACAGGTTTTTCACTCCTATCTATATACTTAGTCCATTCTTCATGGAAAAAATGTTTGAGGATCATGGGAGTCTATTTATGAAACCAGTAGAAAATTACAACAAAGCTAGCCTCTAGGTTAGCTGAGCAGATCATAGAATGAACTCAGTGTTCCAGCTGCAAATCATGAATATATTCCATTTACCATGTTACATGAACTTGAGAGATGCCTCAAATGAAAACTGAGCTTAATATGTCAAAGTTCATTGGATTTTAGATTTGATAGGAGTAGTTCTGTCTGAAGGGAAGGCCTTCTCTATGGATTGCTGCATGCTTTTAAACTGTATTTATTCACAAATATGGGCAGGGAACTGCTTTGATTTTAATTCACGTTGCGGGACGGGGAAAGTTTGCCCTGAAGAACAAGTCCTAGTCATTTTTTTTTAATCTAATGTCAGGTCTAAATATTAAAAAGTATATTCAAGCATTAAAGCCAGGCTGTCTGGGTAATTCTGCCCCTTCACCACTCTTCTTCACCCCACCCCCATTCCCTCTGCCTTCCAACAACCCCAATCTGTTTTCTCCTTAACCATACGAGTAATTCAATCTAAAGCAGGCTTTAGAGCCCGAAGTACTTTGATAATCATTGTTGTGTGAACCTAGTCTGAAGAAAGGAATGTCTCTCTCCTTTTGTAAATACAGGGTTTGTTTTGAAAATGATTAAGAGCGACACCTTCCCTGACAGAGCTCAGTTGCTTGAGTGCCTGTGAAAAACTAGTCTTCCCATTGGCTCCTTGCTGATTGGCTGTCTTGCTTCAAGCTAAATATACAACATGTGGCTTTAACACTCAGAAAGTTTAGTCAGTGGGAACTGAACCAGCCTTTTGGCAAGAGGAGGAGGCAACCTAGCTGGGATACAGCAGCATGTGACATCACTCCTTTCCACTACATGAACATCTGTTCTGCAGACCTTAGGAGCTGGGACTACCTAGTTATCTCAACTTGGTTTCTTCCTAGTCACTGAGTAATGCCAATGTGTTTCCAATTTAAGAAATTGCTGGTGTCTTCAATTAATGCGTTCCATACTTCTTTGTTTTTATTTTATTTCACTGCAGCAAGATACACTGGAGCCTCATTATGATAAAGCTAATGATGGTATGAAATAAAAGCAGAATGGGGTTCTGCCTTTTTTATTCTCTACAAAACAGGCATAAGCTCTGAGGTCAGCATTATAGTGAGGTGCCAATGTAGTAATTTGTTCAATTAAGTCTTCATCTGCTTACTATAGGATTTATTTTCGTAAGAATAGACCTATAACACATGAACTGAGAGTCAATGAGAAGTTTTCAAAGATCTAAGAAATTTGAATAATTATCTAGTTAAGGTTGAAAATGTGTATTTGCAACTACTTTTAACAGAGTAGGAAAAAATGTAAGTATTGGATTTAGCCTGTTTACCTAAGACTTCACAAAAAAAAATGTTCCAATGACATGTGTAACTATAGAATTGTTTATTGGGAGTCATTCTATTTTTTATTAGTCATATTCTATTTTTAAGGTAGATAATTAGGGATTTATCTACTCAATTTTTTGTGAATTATAATGTCATTTTATTTTAGGAAGTTCTAGTTACTCACCTAAAAATTACTTCCATTAAAATTCCATACCATTTGAGATAAATGATCAGTCCAGGAAACTCCATAAACAAATAAAATGGAAAGGCATTAACTTGGCCACATGTTGCCTCAGCATCACAGCACCAACAATTTCCCAACCTGGAGAGTTATCCAGAAACATGGGCTGGGAATCTAAGGCATGACAGGCCACAGTTAGGACCTTAAGTTGGCATTTTCTCCTCCTAGCCATAACTTTTTTGTCCACCTAATGTTTTTATGTTTTACTCAGTTACTGCTATTTAACTATTTCCTTTCCAAAACTACTATAATGAACCATTTTCCCGAGTAGGACACACGAAATGGAATCTACTACCATGGAGAAAAAGCTGTCTTCAATTTATAACTTTGACTCACTCTTCGAATTCATAATTAAAAAAAAATAAGAAGAGACTTACGTTTAAAGCAGTAGGCATCAAATTTGCTATCAGGTAAAGGGAAGCCTGTCTGGTTCTCAAAACGATACAGGGTTCTCACCCCAAGTAAGCCACCTCCACACTGGGCCCTGGCCACAGTCACGGGGTGGCGCACACTGGCATCTGACAGCCAGCCATAATCACATTTGTCATATCCACTTCTCCAGGCAGCATGTAACTCCCCCACAGTAGCAAGTCGGGCATCCTGGTTGGCACACTCTTCTTCAGCCTCTTCAAAGGTGAGTTTGTTGGGACCCGTGACATGGAACACATCACCTAGGAGAAGGTTCAAAGAAGAAAATTAAAAGCTAGGTTTTTACTTCTCTCATTCCTATGTTGAGAATATAGTAGGAAAAGATTAATTCTAAGGCAGGGGTTACATTGTAAAAAAAAAAAAAAAGAAATTATATGACCAAGCATGAATATTGCAGCACTTTCAAATATAACAGTGAGTTGACATCACATCGCTAGGGATAGGGACAGAGTTGGGGTAAGGAAAGAGATAGAGATGGGGATGAGGATATGAATAGGGGTACAAGTAGGAGTAGGGATATAGGGGTAACAGTGGGGATAAGGATAGTAACTGGTCCAATAGTTTCACTTGTATAAGGAACTCCACAGTGCTTCCTCTATCAATTCAGATCAGCACCTTTGCTGTAATTTATATTAGACAGTTTCCTAGGATGGATTATACATCCAGCATGTGTCCAGATCTTCCTGGCTTTGAAACTAGCTCTCTAGTCATAATGCCACACTACCTCTCATTATTATAGAAATGTGTTATTATCATTATTATTATTAAATCTCCACCAAAGTCCTACTTCTGGACCGCAACATGACCTCCACAGGTCCTTTCCAACTTAACACAAACTCTAATAGGTTCTAGTAAGCTAGGAGGGCTTAGGGCACAACCCTATATCAGATGACACATCTATCTCCTGAGCATCAAATTAGCTATTTTCTGCAAGGTTCCTCCCCAGAGACTAGCCATCCAAGGACGAATATTTTTGGTCACAGTAACTCATGAGACTGTCTACTAAAGCATGGAGAATTGCAGTCTGTGTGAGTGAAGAAAGTACTCACATATCTGATAACATGGATATTTGAAGTATTATTAAAAACATGTATAGGTCATTTAGAATAATTGAATAATAACGCTTTTGTCCATACAAAACTTCATTATGAAAACTTTATTTGCATGTAAAGCTATTTCCATAGTCATAGAAAAAGCAAATTATTCCATTGATTATAACAAATTTTATCCAATGAAAAATACTTTACATGTGCTCTCTCTGACTCCTGTTCATGTAAGTTATGCCCTTAATGAAAGGACTTAATTATATACTGTCAGCATTATAGGAAGGCAAAGGAGTGCTGACTTCCACTGTAGCTTATATTTTTACACTTTTTTTTCTGTTCTGCCATCCAATAGTAATTATCTGTCAGTTACTTATTTCAGGACTCCCTACTGCACTTGAGACATGTCAAACAACCCAACCCCTCAAGCCAAATGGACCTAAACTCCCAAACAAAACAGTGCAGGAAATGATCCCAGAATTTGGAGAAGGAAAAGGATGAAGGTAGGAGTTAATGACAGCTTCCTTCTTTCCCTATGAAGTGAGAGCAATGGTTTTTATTTGTTGATTCATTGAAGAGAAACTGGAAGTTAGCTCCATTTCATCTTCAGTTCTTATAGAATATGTTTTCTGGCAACAACAACAGTAAATGACTTTATATAGAACTTTCAAGCTCACAAAGTGCCTGGCAGGCATCATGTCATGTGTTCAAGGTATACATAATTACCAAATCCTGTTACTATAGAATAATTTGGAAATTTTCTCGAGTTTATGATGGAAGTTAATCTACAATAGGTAAAATAGATACTTAATCATAATTCATATGAAAAGTATACATTTCATGAAAGAATTTGTGTAGCTGAAATGTTGAATCAGACAGAATTAGAGACAACCATAGAAAAATTAAAATAGAAGGGACAGAAAGGCAACATAAAAATAGTGAATAATAAGCAAGAGAAAAGATGAGCCTCCCTGCCTGGAGCTCCCTTCTGATGACTATTTCCAATTTATCCTCTGTATAGCTTATTTATGCATAGTTGTTTGCATGTTTTCTCCCCAACTAGACTGTGAGCTCCTTGAGAGGAAGGACTGTCGTTTACCTTTCATTGTATCCCCAGCTCTTAACACAGCGCTTGGTATATAGTAGGTGCTTAACAAATGTTGATTGACTGACTGACTTATTGAAAAGCTATCCAAATTGTCCTTCTAATGCTGATAACACTATGGTCATTGATGATCTCCAAATATGTAGCCTAATAGACAATTTGGGCCTGATGAGCTCTGGTGTAATCGAGCTCAAAATATACCTATCTCAACTCACATGAAGGAAGATTTCTATTTCAAAAGTAACTATTTAAATTGTCAATGAATAGTCTTTCCCTTCATCCACTCAGTATTTGTTTTAGAAAGATAATGACAAGCAATATAGGAGAGAGGGGATGGTCCCAAATCTGCATGTCAGCTTTAGTGTAATTATCTCAGTACAAATCTCAAACTGTCCCCGATCAGACAGAAAACCTTGATTGTTGCCTGACATGTGAATAAACCGGGTGTTTGATAAGATTTTTGTCTGGAAATTATTCAGTTTGGCCCTAAATTATGAGCTATGTTGTAAAAGCAGACTATCTGTTGTTCACACTGCTACGTGAAGCTGGAATGTAGTTGTGTATAGAATTTGTGTAGTAATGTGGCTCCTGAAGTAGTTATGGTAGACCTAAAAGGTTTTTAATGGGTACAGCACAGGCAGGGAGAATAGTCACATGGGACCTGGAGAGTGGCAGCAGCAGCAGTGGCATTGTTAGCAACAGCACCCACTGTGTGCCACACACTGTGCTAAGTGCTACTATTTCATCTGATCCTCACAACAGCCCTGAGCCCATTCTACAGATGAGGAAACTGAAGCCAAAAAAAGGTTAAGTGATCTGCCTAGGGTCACACAGTAAGTGTCAGAGGCCAAAATTCAACTCAATTCTTCCTGATTCCAGGTCTAGTGCTCTACCTACTGTACCATCTAGCTAGACATCCTCAAATGTTTTCATTTCACACAAATATTTCAGCATGATGTGGTTATTAGAAGAGAGAGTAGATGTGTGGTTTCGTTGCTATAGGAAGCTTCCTGTGTTAATGCAGATTCACACTTTTCCTGCACCTTCTAGTCTTCAAAATTTGTCTAGGAAACTCAGACTAAAGGACTTCTCTTATGTCACAAAGCAAATATGTGTCAGAGATGGGGCTTGAACCCAATTGGGTCTTCTTAACCCCAAAACCAACTTTATTTCCACCATACCACTTGGTCTATCCTATCACCAATGTGTCCATATTCAACCAATCACCCAGTCACCAAGGGTTTATTAAGTGCCTTCTATATGCCAAGTATCATACTAGGTACCACCAGGTCTACAGAGACAAAAGTGAAGCAGTTTTTGGCCTCAAGGAGTTTACTTTCTAACAAAGAGACAATGTATACATATATAGGTATATGTGTATGCACATACATAGCTGTGTGTATATATAGAATATGCCAAATATGTACAGACAAGGTGTTTTAGGAGAGAGGAAGATATTGGCATTGGGAGAATTTAATAAAAAAAAAATCTTCATGTGGAATGTGGCTCTTGGCCTTAGTTTTGATAGACGCTAAGAGGTAGTTAGCAGGGAGTATATGTTGGGCATGGAAGAAAGACAGTACAAAGACTTGGAGTTGGGAAATAGAGTATCATGTATGAGAAACTGCAAGCAGGCCAGTTTCAATTAGAGACATTGAAATTTCTAGTCTTTGTAGCTGGAAAGGATGGTATTAACCTTGATAGAATTAGGGGAATTTGGAAGGGAGGCAGGTTCAAAGGGGGAAAATAATGAGTTCTGATTTGGTTATGTTGAGTTTGAGATGCCTACTAGATGCCTACTAGAGGGTGTCAAGGAGAGTACTAAAGGAAGCTGGAAAGGAAGGTTGCATAGCATTGTAAAGGGCTTTATATGCCAAACAGAGGAGTTTGTGTTTGATCCCAAAGATAATAAGGAACAGTTAGAGTTTATGGAGTAGGGATGTGACTTAGTCAGGTATGCACTTTAAGAATATTATTTTGGTAACTGTGTGGAAGATCACTGGAATAAGGAGAGACTTGGGGCAGAGCTACCAACGAGGAGTTTCTTTCAATAGCCTAGGTGAGAGGTAAGAAAGGCCTGAACTAGGGTGGTGACATTTTTAGAAAAGGGGACAGATGTGGGAGATGTTGGGGAGGTAAAAATGATAAGTGACTGGTTGGCTCTGTGAGATGAGCAAGAATGAGTCAAGCTATAATACCAGGGGTGGGGAACCTGTGGCCTCGAGACCACTTCACAGAACAAATCTTTTTATTAAGGAAGTTTGGATTCAGTCAAAGGCCCACACTTGAGGACCTAGAGGGCCATATGTGGCCTCCAGGCTACAGGTTCCCCACCCCTGTATAATACTGTCAGGAACACCAAAGGTTACAATGATCCAAGGCTGGTGAGTTAAGCTAAAGACAACAAAAAGGGGGTGGGGAAAGAAACAACTTGGAGAGAGGGAGAGGAGCCAGAAGACTAGTGAATGGCAAATGTAATAATTATAATAATAAACAGAAGAGAACTATTAAACTATCAGTCAATGAATTTGATTTTGATACCTGGGAAAATCATCTAATTTTTTTTTACTAGATAACTAAATTTGTCAATGAGGAATATGTTGTTGATATAATTTACTTATATTTTTAACAAAATGTCTAATAAAATATCTGACACTATTCTTGTGGAGAAGATGAAAAGATAAGGATTAGATAAGAATACAATCAAATGGATCCAGTAATGGTTAAATGTCTGGACTCTGAGTTACTAATGATTGAATGTCAACATGGCCGGTGGTCTCCAGGGTAGTACATCAGGGATCTTTGCTGGGCTCTGTGCTATATGGCATTTTAATTAGTGTCTTGAATAAAGGCATAGGTGGTGCGCTCATCAAATCTGAAGATGACACAAAGCTAGGAGGGGTAGCTAACACTGGATGACAGAGCCAGGATCCAAAAGAAACTTATCTGGCTAGAGTAATGGGCTAAATCAAACAAGATGAAATCCAATCAAGATAAATGTACAATCTTGCAATTAGGTACAAAAATAAATCAATTTAAAGTTGATGGTACAGGATGGGAGAAGCATGGCTTATTCCATAAATTAAAAATAAATTTTAAAAAATATATCTAGATGTTTTCTATAAGCTTAATCTGAGTCCAAAATGTCAGAGAGGCAGAAAAGTTAATGCAATCTTCTGTTTCATTAAAAGGAGCATTTCTTTCAAAGAACAAGATGGTGATGGTTCCACTGTACCCTACTCTCATCACACCTCATCTGGGTTACTGAGTGTTCAAATCTGGGGACCAGGATCTAAGAAGAACAATCTGTAGAGCTTCAGGAATAGGGCAACTAGAATAGGGGAAGGGTCTTGAGTCTATGACATCAAAATTAGTTTAGAGGAACTGGCAATGTTTATCCTGAAAGAAGAATCAAGTGGAACATGATAGCTGCCTTCAAGTGTTTGACTGGCTGTCATGTGGAAGAGGGCATTGTTCTTTTCGGCCCCAAAGATTAGATCCAAGAACAATAGGTAGAAGTTATAAAGAAACAAATTTAAGTTTAATGTTAGGAAAAACAATTAAAGCCTTCCAAAAGAGGAATGAGTGGTGGGTGGGCTGCCCCTCCTGAGAACTCTTAAAGCAGAGGCTGGAAGACCACCTGTATATGTCAGAGTGGAGATTCCTTTTGTCCACAGATTAGAAGTCCCTTCCAACTGTCAGATTCGGTGATTCTGCCAATTAGAGACATTGAAATTTCTAGTCTTTGTAGCTGGAAAGGATGGTATTAACCTTGATAGAATTAGGGGAATTTGGAAGGGAGGCAGGTTCAAAGGGGGAATATAATGAGTTCTGATTTGGTTATGTTGAGTTTGAGATGCCTACTAGATGCCAAATTCAAAATGCCTTGAGCTGGGCTAAGCCTAAACATAAATCAAAGAATGCCATTACAAAGACCAAGGTCTTTTATTAAGAAGTGAACAACTCTTTTTTCTCTCTTTCCTCAACAGAAAACCAAAGTTAGTGTTGCCACAAGGCTCTGTTTAGCTTTCTGGGACACGTGATCCATCTCACCGATGGACCTTGTCTCAAGACTACATGGCAGACGGAGAGACGGCATCACCTTGAACAGTTCCATTCATATCAATATTACACTTGTTTTAGGTCTGAAAGGAATGCAAGTGTGAAAACAGGCAGCGTGCCAGTATTTTTCCCTCCTAGGTAGAACATTTGGGTTTGTTATTACAGCTGGATATCAATTTCATTGCCTTCATTTCCTTCATTGTAGGGAGTTTCTACTTTGTGGAAAAACTACTCGACTTCCTAAATGCTAAGAGTATTCAACACATTCAGGTACAGGAAAAAAATACAATTAGG